ACTAAGAGTTCACACACTGGAAGTCTTGCATTGTGAATAATATAAATCACTTCTAATCTCCTTTTGGCGTTCCGTTTTGGTTGGAGCCAAACAATGTACGTAGAGAGAACAAAAAAATAATGAATCCTCCTTTCACTCCCCCGATTCTGTTGTTGCACAAAGAAGGAAAAATATCTCAAATCAAAATGAAACATTAAATTCCTAACTATCACTAAGTGAACTTTCAAAACAGAAATGAGAATTAAGATGCCCTTGCCCTGACTTTCATGCTCTTTGGAAAACTTCATTTCCCCTTCAACTCAAGACTTATACAGTATCCACCTGGGCCACAGGAACTGACAGCTTTACGTCAGGGTATAAGTTGGTGGGAAAGGGCAGAAGCATAGAGGGGAAATGTAGAAGGGTCACTGGCAAAGAATGGGGGAGAAGGAGCTGGTCTCTCTAGAAGTAATTGGTGCTTCCCACTCTAATGTTTTCCTGTCAATCCTTTACCGTTCTCACTCTCCCTAGCTTAGCTCACAGCTTGCTAGCTAAGGGTTCACTAACTCAATTCTTCTTCTTCTTTTTTTTTTTTTGCTTTTTGGGTCACACCCAGCGATGCTCAGGGGTTACTCCTGGCTCTGCACTCAGCAATTACCACTGGCGGTGCTTGGGAGACCATCTGAGATGCCAGGGATTGAACCCAGGTCGGCCGTCTACAGGGCAAATGCCCTCCCCGCTGTGCTATCACTCTGGCCCCAAACTCAATTCTTCTCAAAGAGAATCAGTCCCTTCCATGGTGCCTCGGCTTTCCCAAGCCTTAATCATTAGCTGCAGACACCTTCTTAAAGTCTTCCTGATCCTGTTGGAGGCCTCACCAGCTGCCACCCTCGAACCTCAAAAGCCACTCAGACTTAGGGCTGTGGAGAACACTTCAAAAGCCCAGTGTTCAGAGTGTACCCCAGCACAAATAAGTGAGACTCTACCAGGATGCTGATCACGTAGACCTGAGGCAGCTACCCACACCGGTAAGACACAGAGTCCCGTCTTACGCTTTAGCACATGCCTCCTGTTGTTTCTACCTTTGTGGGCTTCCTGTCATGGGGCTTTGAGCTCTTAAAAGCCAGCACAGGTCTTGACATTTTCCATTTTTGCTCCTCAAGCTGTGGGTCAGGATGCCGCTCCGCTGTATCTGCAGCTCGTCAGAGCTGTTAGACATGCAGCCCCTGACCTTCAGATTCTGAAAGGGGCTTTAGTTCTCTTGGTTGTCTGTGTGCGTAGGTGGGTCTGAGAAGCCCATGCTTAATGCAGGAAGAGACCAGGGCTTCAGCAGAACTCCTGCCTCAGGAAGATATGCAAAATAAATTTTGATCTATCTATCTATATATTTACAAATTATATATTTTCAAATGCTCATGCATTTGCGGGGAGGTCTGGGGCCACATCAGGGGTAACTCTTGGTTCTACACTTAAGAATCAGTCCTGCATAAAGTAACAAAATAGGAGATTAATACCCAAGAATAGCCAAGATCAGTACCAGGAGGATTACTCCATGGCTTAGAGGCCAGCCGGGCATTCTAGGGGAAAGGGCAGCTAAGATAGAGAAGGGAGCACCAAATAAAGGGTGTTTGGAGGATCCTCCCAGGAGGGGAGATGCATGTTGAAAGTAGACTATGGACTGAACATGATTGCCACTCGATGCCTCTTTTGCAGACCACAACACCCAAAAGGAGAGAGAGAACAAAAGGGAATGCCCTGCCACAGAGGCAGGGTGGGATGGGGGGATGGGTGTGGGAGGGATACTGGGATCCATGGTGGTGGAAAATGGGCACTGGTGGAGGGATGGGTACTTGATCATTGTATAATCGAAACCCAAGCACAAAAATTTGTAAATCTACAACTGTACCTCATGGTGTTTCACTAATAAAATTTTAAAAAAATTATTCCTGGCCATGCTTGGGGTCCATATAGGTTGCCAGGGATCGAAATCACACCAGTCGCATGCAAGTGCCTCTACCTGCTGTGCTATCTCCTGGGCTACCAGTGAAGGTACTTTATGCTATTGTCAACCTTCTGGGCTGCTTCGTGGCTTATAGAAACAAAAAAACAATCTTCTGGTCTCCTTTCTAAGGAAGCCTTCTGCAAGTGTTTTCTGCCAACTAGCTCTCTTGCCTTTAAGGCCTGGCGCTGTCTACGGGCTCGCTCTATACCATGCCCATGCAGGAGAATTCAATTTCCTATGGGGTCAGGGAAGAGAAGAAACTGGACAACTAGCCGGGGCGCAATGAGCTTATTAACGTAGGTGCTTCTTCCTTCTCCTAAGAATAGAGAAGAAAGGTCTGCTCAGTGGCATTTCTATGTAAACAGCTGACTTGAAAACCACACAAAGTAACTTCTATCAAGAGTGTTTTTAAAGGATAATATTTGTATATTTTAAAATGCCTTACAAAAAGCTGAAATGCAGCCAGTCAAAATCAGTGGTTTCAGAGGTGTGTTTTTCAGCTTCCCACAAAGTACCAATCAAACCTAGTGATTGTAGCTTAGCAGGGGTTTCGCCAATAGAAATGCCACCACATCTTGAGCAGGGGAGAGAAAATAAGTACTTGAAAACTTAAAACCCAAAAGCAGGAGTGCACAAATGTGCTTAATGCAACATCTTTCACTGTTACTTTCCTTTCAATTACATGCAAATTGAATTTAAGGCTGTGTTGAGTATGGCAGGGAAGAAATAAAACATTTGCCACAAAATTACTCAACAAAGCTTAATATTAAACAAAATCAACATTGTCTTAAAGACAATGATGGTGATCCCATGTACTATGACAAATGGCATTTATTTGTTTACTTATTTATTGGCTGTGGGGCCACACAGAGCTGCTCTTCACTTAGGGATCACTGGTGGTGGTCTGAGGAAACCATATGTTTCCAGGGATCGAACTCGGGTCAGCCACAAGAAGGCAAGTGCCCAACCTGCTGTACAATCGCTCCGTCCTCACATTTGTTAGTTAAAATAAGAACTTGCACCTCGGTGATAGTTAGGAATCTAAGAAAAAATTAAGTGAGTTCAATTGTCTGATATAAAAGCCAGGTGATGGCATGTGAACTCACTGATACCGTGTGAATATAATTTGAGTATAATTTGATTGCTTCTTGCCTCTGAGCACTTAAGTCTAGGCTGACATGTATGTACATGGTCACATCTGGCTTACTTGAATGCAAATTTTGCTTCAAAAGGAAGCACCATTTGAAAGGATTATCTGATTGGGAATTCTTCCTGCCCTACAGAAAACAGAGTTGTATTTAGTTGTGCTTATACTGCAATGGGGCTGGAGAGATAGTACAGTGGGTTGAACGTTTGCCTTGCACACGGCCGACCTGGGTTCAATTCCTCCGTCCCTCTCAGAGAGCCCAGAAAGCTACCAAGAGTAATCTTCCCGCATGGCAGAGCCTGGCAAGCTACCCGTGGCATATTCGATATGCCAAAAACCAGTAACAAGTCTCACAATGGAGACATTACTGGTGCCTACTCAAGAAAATCAATGAACAACAGGAGGACAGTGCTACAGTGCTACATACTGCAATGACCAGGGAAAGAAGGTGAGCTGACCATTAAGGACTCTTTTTTACCAAATTTCTTTCAACAACACATAATTTGATACTAATATGATATACAGTGTCAAATGAGACTTTTCAGTTTGAATGCCACATAAGGAAATAGTAGAAGATATGTCATTGCCTCTAAGATCCCACTGAGTAAGATCTGCATGAAAAGGAGGCTACCAGGACCTCAATTCTCATCCCTGTCATGGACAATAAGGTTTGTTTCAACTTCAAACATAAAACAACTTCCAACAATAAAACACAGGGGTGCGGGGCACAGTGTCTTAGAACTGTCACAATTCCGTGTAGTAGAAGCACAGTACAAAAGATCCTTTCATAAGTAACAACTTTCATAAGGGTAACAACAACTTTTCCTGTCAGGATTTTAAGGTTGCATGTCAGGGTAGACGATATTGCTCCAGGTTAATAGTAACTTGAAAGTCTTAGAACCACCATACTCCCCACTTCTGAGGCAAATGGTTGAGATTAAACAGAAAATCTGATGCCACTCAATGCCTCTTTTGCAAACCACAACACCCAAAAGGAGAGAGAGAACAAAAGGGAATGCCCTGCCACAGAGGCAGGGTGGGATGGGGGGCATGGGGGGTGGGAGGGATACTGGGACCTGTGGTGGTAGAAAATGGGCACCGGTGTAGGGATGGGTACTTGATCATTGTATAATTGAAACCCAAGCACAAAAATTTGTAAGTCTATGACTGTATCTCATGGTGTTTCACTAATAAAAATTAAAAACATAAACAGAAAATGTGACTAATGCAAAGTTACAGCACTCCTCCTTTGAAGGCAAAAAATGGCAAAATGGAGCCCACCATTGCATACTATTCATTGTGAACATGGCAGCGTGCAGAACAGCAAGAATTTCTAGCACCAGTGTGCTAGTAATAGAGTGGAGGTGGCAAGGGGAGCACACCTCTAATTTCACGTAGTTATCTCTCTAAGCCTCTGCTGAGGCCTGTCTTATGCTCTGGTGATATGACACTCTTGCTGGTAAAGTGATACACACAGGATGACCCAGGTCAGGCCTGCCAGATACCCCCAGCACAAGTACCAGGATTCTAAAAGTGAAATCCCTGATGTGAATCTCTTGAACTAATCTTGACTAATCTCTTGAACTTCTTGCCAGTGACTTGGTGAATCTCTTTCCCTCCCCAACCCTAAACATATCCAATAAACCCCAACAGACTAAAGGAAAACAAAACTGAAGTATAAAAGTCTGGCAAACTAATAAACAGATTGATCAGATGGACATAGGTAGATTGATCAGATTTGCCAGAAAGTTGCCCAAATTATACTTTGAATCTCTCAAGAAAAGGAGTGAAGACTACTTGGCTAATTCTTTAGAAATGGAGGCAGTGGTTCTTCTAGGTGGCCTTATAAGACAGAAGCAGTAGTATACTCACATTGATTGGGAGGCCTTTCTGCGGAGTAAGTAGTCCACAACGTCAGGATCAGTCTCTAACAGGCTGATCAGCACTTCGTTCTGGAGTTCTGGAGAAACCTAGAGGACCAAATAAGGAGGCAAGAATGAAACCACTGCAGATGACAAACACTGATGCCCGTCACTTGACAACAGCATGAAAACTCAGAAGTGAGTTTTTTTTCTTTTTGGGCCACACTCAGGGGTTACTCCTGTCTCTGCACTCAGGAATTACCCCTGGTAGTGATTGGGGACCATATGGGATGCCGGGGATTGAACCTGGGTGGGCCATACGCAAGGCAAATGGCCTATCTCTCCAGCCCCAATTTCTTGTTTAAACACCCAAAAGGAGAGAGAGAACAAAAGGGAATGCCCTGCCACAGAGGCAGGATGGAATACGGGGGATGGGGGGTGGGAGGGATACTGGGATCCATGGTCGTGGGAAATGGGCACTGGTGGAGGGATGGGTATTTGATCATTGTATAATTGAAACCCAAGCACAAAAATTTATAAGTCTACAACTGTACCTCATGGTATCTCACTAATAAAAATTTAAAAAAAACGAATCTACACCAACCCATACAGTCAGCTCAATTCTCAGAACAGACTGGCTTACCAAATACTCATAATCAGTTCTAAATGTCAGCCCTCTGATGACTAGAAATACTGCCTTGTCACTTGCCTTCCTCTACTGTTTAGAGTAGATACTTTTTTTGGCTTTAACAAAATGAAGCACTATGGGTATCCATAATTTATTGTCCAAATGGAGACAATTTCTAGTGTTCATATTTGTAATTAAGTCAGGACAACAGGCATAGATTAGGACTGTATTGGGCAATTCTGGAACATTGCATCAGCTTAAGAGGAAGAAATTATCTGTTGAGAAATCTGAACAGTACGTGAAAGATAGTGAACACTAAAAAATGCCAACTACTATATTCTCACTTTCACGGGAATGCCTTTACTTCTTTATCACATCCTGATCCATTAACAGTTTGAATTGTCCCACTTCATAATTAGACAGGTAAAGGTAAAGGCCCTCCCGTTGATCGTCGATTTGCTCGAGCGGGCCCAGTAACATCTCCATTGGAGACTTTGTTGTTACTGTGTCTGGCATATCGAATACTCTCGGTAGCTTGCCGGGCTCTCCGAGAGGGGCGGAGGAATCGAACTCGGGTCGGCCATGTAGACAAGGGGTTCATTGGAATTCTTTAGACAATAGTACTTCAGGGATTTCTCTAATTGTAATCCAGAGTGCAATACAAAATGGGCTTATAATGGGAGCTCACAGGGCCACAGCTATAGGACAGCATGTAGAGCACTTGTCTTGCACATGGCCAACGTAGGTTCAATCTCTGGCATCAAACATGGTCCCTTAACCTTGCCAGGAGTGATCCCTGAGCACAGAGCCAGTAATAAGTTTGAAGCACTACTAGGTGTGGCCCAAAAATCAAAACCAAAAAAGTGAAATCACTTGTGTGGAAATGAACCATGAGAAGACTGAGGTCTTCATTCTCCAATCATTTGCTATGCTGTAAATGCCAGAAGCTCAACGAAGAGAAATCCTGACCACTGAGAACGAAAAACTTTTCAGTCTGATCACCTCACATGTGGACTTGGAGACAAGATTCTGAAAAAGTATGGGGATGAATCATTTGAGAATAAGTAGTTGGTGGAAGAATTTGCCTCCTGCCTCTAGCAGAACTCAACTTTTCTTGAATGTTGAGAAGCTGGAAACAATTTTATTAATAAAAACAGGGGGAATGAGAAAGCAAGAAAACGCTTTCCTTCTCTCATAAATCTGTTCCTCCTACTTTATCCTGAATCTTCATTAAGGAGATTGCTAAACCCTAGTCACACAAGCTCAAAGTTGGGTTGCATTCAAGGTTCTCTGTGCCCTTCCACTCCCTGCTCAGAGACAGACCTACCTGATCGAATCTCCATGATGCCTGTGCCTTCTTCTCTCCCATTCCAACTGCAAATATCCAAGTTTGAGTTCTCATTATGTCTTTGTAGTGCTCATCTGTTGGCTATTACCAGCCTCCCTTTCCCTCTTCTTATAACAGTTATATTCTATGTTCCTGCTGGAAAACCAGTTGCTTCCCAATCTTGAGCTCAAGGGTGAAGTGTAGTGAAATCTAAGCCAATGACAATTCCATTTCAGGATCACCATGACTGCCTGAGCAATGAGCAGGGGAGCCCATGATAGGATTTCCTGAGACTTCTGACAGGGAAGATATGGGACCTATACCCATAAGGAGCCCAAGAATTGCATTGATCACAAAAGAAATAATACAGAGAAAAGGAGAGAAAGAACAGGGGGATCTGGTTTATGTCCTAGGAAAAACTGTATCTAAACTATATTTACTTTTCGATTGTTGACCTAGGTAACCCCCCAAATTCTGTAAGCTACTTTTGAGTTTTCAGTTGAAAAGAGAGAAGCATTTTTTATTGGACCTCTGATATGGTTAAGACTGTTAACTTGTGTACTATTATTTCTTCAACATGTGCATCAAATCTCTCCTCTGCAGAGCTGTCAGGATATATTGATCAAGACACTTTCTTACTCAAAAATCTTTCTATCCCCAAAGCTGAAGCCCTTGTCTTGCTAACTTACTTCAGTATGTATTTTCAATCTTCTCCCCTAGCAAAGACCCTTAGAGACCACCTACATAAGCTGCTCTGTGCTTCTCAAGCTGGCCTTGCCCTGTCAGAAGTCTCATACTTTGAATTCACTGTATTAATTGGTGAATACTTACTGAATACTATGTACCGGACACTGGGAATTAGCTACAAGTCAAACAGTTAAGAATCCTTGTCTCCTTGAAGCCATCAGTGAATTCAGGGAGACTGGTATCAAGCAAATAACTAGAGAAAAATATAGCATGGATCACATGGAGGAAAAATCAGGCAAGAAGGGTGATGGAGTCTGCTGGGGGTAGGGTGGTCAAACCACAAAGAAACTGACAATGCTGTGGAGAACCAAATTTGATGATCCAGAAGAGGGTTGATCAAGTCCTGAAGTGGGAAGTTGAGCTGATGAAAAATATTTGGATTCCAGTGATTACAAAGACAGAAATGCAATCATGAGCTAATTTACTGGAAGGATGGGTGTGCTGCTGACTGGTACAGAGAAGCCTAGAAGGAGTTTGGGGTGCAGATCAGGAGGAAGCCTTGATTTGATAAAATGAGAGAACTCTGAGACATCCAAATAAAGAGACCTAGTTGACACGTGGGAATAAGAATCTCGGGATTCAGGGGAATAGTGGTGCTGGACATAGAGATCTGGGAGACACATGGATACTATTTAAAGTGATGTGGCCCAAATGCAATGCATTCGAAATGAGGTTAGAGGGAGAAGAGAAGTGGCAGGGCTATCAGGTTAAGGCAGAGGGATTCCAGTCTCTTCTTTATTGACTAAATTAAGCAAATTAAAAGACTAAGATTTTTATTGTTGTTGCTTTTCAGCCACACTCCGTGGTGCTCAAGGACTATGCCTGGCTCTGTGCTCATGAGTTACCTTTAGTGGTGCTCAAAGGCTGTTATGTGTTGCCAGGAATTTGAACCAGGGTCTCAGCAGCATACAAGGTATGTGCATTCCCTCCCAGACTGATCATTGCAAATTTTTCAGGCAACAGAAATCAACAAATGTGCACAATTACAACTTTTCCTCAAAAACCATTACAGTAGAGGGGCTGGAGCGATAGCACAGTGGGTAGGGTGTTGCCTTGCACGCAGTCGATCCAGGTTCAATTGCCAGCATCCCATATGGTCCCCTGAGCACTGCCAGGAGTGATTCCTGAGTACAGAGCCAGGAGTAACCCCTGTACATCGCCAGGTGTGATCCAAAAAGCAAAAAAAAAAAACCCATTACAATAGAGCAGTTAGTGATAAGACTCAATGCTGGAATACGAGTCTCCATGTATGAGGCTCTGGGCTCAAATCCCACTATCTCTCCTCACCCCTAAAGAAATAAACAATGTGAACAAAACATAATACCAAAAGGGTGAAAATGAAAAGTGAAAGATCTCATCTCACATATGTGAGAATGGCACATATGAAAAAGTCTAGACAGCCAGTGTGAGTGGGTTTGCAGTAAGAAAGGAATCCTCCTCTCCTGTTGGTGGGAATGCCATCTGGTTCAGCCTCCCTGGAAAAAAATATGGAGAGCTCTAAAAAAATAGGAAAGGTCTCCCAATTCATCCAGCAAGACCATTTCTTGGCCTCTATTCCTCAAAACCGAAAACATTAATTTGGGACAGAGAGAGTATAACTGATAAGGCACTTGGCTTACATTTGGTTGATCTGGGGTTAATTGCTGATATTCCAAATGGTCACCAGAGCTCTCCAGGACTGATACCTGAGCGCAGAGTCAGGAGTGGGCTCTAAACAAAACTGAGCGTGGCCCCCAAACAAACAAAACCATTTTTAATTTGAAAGAACCTATGCACACCTATGTTTGTCACAGTACAACAGCCAAGATATGAAAGCAAACCCAAAAGTCCAACTGCGGATGAATGAACCAAGAATTTGGGATTTATATACACAATGGAATAATATGCAGTTCTTAAAAAGGACTGCACTTTGCTCTGACATGGACAGAACTTGAGCATTCTGATCAAAGTCAGTTAGAAGGAAAGGGATAGACACACAATGATCTGTCTCATAGGTGGCACTTAAATATACAACTTTGGGAGAGTGGGGTACACTGGTGACGGGTGTGATATTGAAATTGTGTCCATGGGAAACTATCATTAACAGAAATCAATAAGAAAGACATTCAATAAATTGTAAATAAATAAAGAAAATTCAGTGAATAAAATTTTTTCAATAAAAGAAAGAAACTTCCATGAGCAAATTAGGAAAGTATCTGTATTTTCATCCTAGTTAAATTTAAAAATTTCTCTGCTTAGAGACGTAATAAAAAAATTTTGCTCTAGGCACCAATCCATTCCCACTGAAGAATAAACAAATGGAGTGCAGGCCCTTTGGACTAGGTTGAGCAGAGCAATAGTGGATCTTTTGAGAATACACGCTGTATCTAACCAGAAATTATTAACGTGGATACGTTATTAGAATCA